CTGCACACCCGCGGCAGGGGGAGAGCCGGCGTGCCGTCCTCGGATCCCCAGTCCTCATAGCGGCGACCGCCGGCAAAAGGCTGGGAACGTGGGAAAGTGAGCGGGTGTGCGCAGCGAAACAGGTTACAGGAGGGTGTGTAAGTGTAGCAGAGCGTAAGTGCATTCGGATGCCATGGGGAATGTCTGCCGGAACAGCAAGAGCAACACCTCAGCTGCCTCGAACAGCAAAGAGCAGGGTGCCTCATGGTGTGATTCCAGCATTACTCACCCCAAGGATCAGGCGCTTCCCCACCCAGTTACATATGACCAGGAAATTACAGGCTGCGCTGCTCCCCGCCTGCCTGAGCGGCTGCCATATCATATGATGCACCCCAGAGCGGCGTGTCTGATGAAACAGCGCAGCAGCGTGTGCTTAGTGAAACGCCAGCGTTTTGTGGAAAAGACAGGCTGGGCTGGGTCAGACTGTCATTTGGTATCCTGAATGCATGCTCCCTCTTGCGCATCTTGCCATTAATTAAAATGCTGGATAAAAATTAAATCCTAATCTTTCTTGCTCTTGCTGCTCACTGATTTTCTTCTGGTAGACTCCACAGCCAGCCCTGTTGTAGTTCCTGTCTCTCTCGTACTTCACCCATCCAATTTGTGGACAAACTAATTTTTATTCACATCCAGTGTTCACAAGATCTTTGTTCCTATAGCCATTGTATCAAGGGCCCTGCATCTCTCATCTTTATTACAATAGCATTCATATCCCAGATCAGACGTGCACCTCTCCTCTCTGCAGTACACAGCAAATGGAGCTAGAAAGGTCATCTCTGCAGCACACTGTCATGTGGCTTGAATCTGTCTACTACTTCCTACTTAACTGAGTTTAAGGAACTTGTTACAATGAAAGTCACCTGTGCAAGACTGCGCATTCGTCTTTTCCAGTATGCTTCTCCCTGTCTCCTTCACTAACTGTGAGCTTTTGCTAGCCCTGTCAGTCTCCTCACACCCTTTCATGCCGTTCTCTAATACCACTCTGCTCCACCTTTTGCAGCATCTCTACTCAGGTCAGCTTTCTGCAGCTAAGGTAGTCTGATCTCCTACAGTTTTGTGTTCTATTGATTCCAAACACCAGTTAAAGGCTCTTTCTTCCATGTGTTTTTAAGAGCTGCAGCCTGTGTGAATTTTCTGAAGTCTGAGAAAATAGTCCTGTTGCAACCTACTTCCAAGGTGAGGAGAAGGGTCTTCTCTTGGTTTTTGTTTCAGTGAAATTAAGTGTATCTGAACCAGCTTCCCACCCATCCAATTTGCTTTCAGTTGACCAGTGTATCAAAAATCATACATGCATCTGGACAGACCTATGATGTCATACACTCTCCCCCCACCAAAGATCTTGTGACCACACAAGCCTTTCTTTGCAAAACCAGGCATAAATTGTGACTGCAAAACCCTGTGCTGCTTCTCATTACACTCCTTCTATATTAATTATTTTCCTTTCACTATTGGTCTGTGCTTGCCTTTTTAGATCTTCTGCTCCTGAGGGCAGGGTCTGGGCTCTTTTCTGTTCCCACAGAGTGTTAAGTGCCTTACAGGCACAACAATTCCATTAATTAAGAATTACTAACAATTTGCATTAGTACCATAGTCCTGCCGTGTCACATCAGACCACTGCTCCAGCCAGTCAAGCATGTACCTCTATCTCATGGTGCTCTGAAGCAATTGTCCCCCAGTGAGGTGGGGCCCTCACATGGGGTAGTGGCTGAGCACCCAATTCCAGGCTCATTTTGCAGAGTCTGTCCAAGACTTGCTCGTTCTCAATGAATCCATGGCCCAGCCAATCATGGATCTGAGCTCCTGCATAAAGGGACACTCTAGGCTGGATGCACTTGGTCGTGTATCTGACAGAGTGACATTAGCCAAACTGTTCAGAGGCAAGGATGATGGCTCTGTAATACTCCCAGTGTGGCAGTAAGGATCAAGCAGGACTTCTCACTGACCCCAGTCCTTCTGTGCCTCCTAGCACTAGGGGCTGGAACTTCCCTTCACCCAATTCCAAATGCTTTTCTGTTTCTTACAGATGTCTCTCTTTTCTTTAAAATACAGTATTTGCTTCCCTAATATCATGCAGTAGCAATTTCCACAGTTTATCCTATAATGCTTTGCTTCAAGGAGAGATAATATGTTCTTGATAACATCAACTGATTTTTTACATCCTGTATCAATCATACTGAATTATGAGGAAAACTGTGAGTCTCCTGGGAGGGTTTGATGGCTTTACAGTGGAAAGAATCAGGAATGTGAGACTTGGGTGAAGAATTTCAATTAAAAGAAAGCCAGGAAGACTTTTCAGACAGGGTGGACACCTGTATTATATTCTAAGAAATATTTTTTGTTTGTATATCTTATATTTCATATCCTGCACAAAGCCTTTTTCAGCAGAGGATCCTATACTGAGAATCAGCAGATGGATGATTCAGCACAAAAAATAACACATTCAGGAGGAGGAAAATGAGCTACTCCTTGAATGTTGTTCATTTATCTACTGTTTGGTCTTTGCAGCATGACTGTCATCCTGCCTAGGAATGGGAAGGCAGTTTCAGGCAATGAAAGCAGTGTGAGAAAAGAGATGGGACAAGACTGCATTGCCCCTTCGGAAGATTGCAAGGATGATTGAAAGTGCTGTTGAACTGGGAAGAGCCAGAAACTGAACTGCTCATTGTATGCAGCTGGAAGCCATGGTGAACATTCTGCAAAGGCCTTCTACTGGGAGATGACTCCGGTCACTGTTCCTTCCATAGCAGCTGGTCCCTGTAAGACACTGAACCCTCAACACCCCTTACAAATGTGGCTGAGGACCTGAAAGAAATGCTGGTGCACCTGATATACTGTTCCAGGAGTCTTGTGAGATTAACAGCTTGTAAATGATGGCATACCTGGAATAAGTTCCCTGTTGGCACTCCTGGGCAATATATAAGAAGAAAATGTGCATCTTAGTACAGGCACACTTAAACCACATGAAGGAGACCTGTATTTTTGGAATGACAGGTCCTCCTCCATGTCTGGAGCATGACCTAGTTGGTGACTATCTATTGTTTATAGGCAATGATTCCTCAGAAACAAATCAACTAAATGAACAAACTGGATGATAAAGTAGAACGGAGAACTGCATTGTGCTCCTCAGAGTCATAAAAATTCATCCCTTTTACAACTGCTGAGTGCTTTGCCAATATCATGCCAAGGTGAGAGCAGCTGGGGGAAGGGAAGGATATTGAAAAGGAAAATAAATAGGCCAGGTAAACAGTGCTGCTGCTGCTGCAGCAGCCGTGGTTGCCACGGCAACCGGGGTGAAGAGGAGGCGGAGGAGGAGGAGGAGGAGGAGGGGGGAGGTGGATTGATCGATAGTCCTGTGCTGGCTCATCTGGCTTCCATCCACGTGCTGCTACAGAGGGAGAGAAAATCAAAGAGCCACACGCAGGATGGCCAGGTCTCCAATTCAATACATGGCAGCAGCTTGATCAATAACTTGTTGGAAGGTGGGTAATTGACTCCCCTTGTAGCCAGGAGAAAGCGGTGCAGTGACAGAGATGTGTTCGTTAGCTACTGATTCTCAGCTCTACTTTATTACCCAGCTTGTTCATTTAGGTGATTTGTTTGTTTGCTTGCTTGAGATCCCTCTTCAGTCTGATTTCTCCCTGTACCTGTCAAAGATGAGCACCAGCTGCTGGAGCAGAGCCAGAACTGCCCCCAAGTTTCTGAGTTGCTTTCCCTCTCTTCTCCTTTATCATTTCTTTGCTCATCCTGGGGTTTTTATCTCACACTGGCAAAGGTTTTGACAGGGAAAGCTGGAAACAGGGACAACCCTTTCTTCTGGCATTTCTTGAGCTTCCTTTCCTGAAGTCTGGAGTAACATGATTATGGCTCATCTAAACGCAGAGGAGCACAGTAGCCCCTCAAATAATTAAATAATTAGGTATATTTTTGCACCTCACAAGCCAAGTGAATTACAGGGAGAGATTTACAACTATTATTTTTGTATGTCTGCCCTTCTCCAGAGGAATTATCTGCAGAGGGTGACTAGGTGATGCTATGAGAAAAGACAAAAACCAAAGAGAGGTATCAAAGGAAAGGACAGGAAATCAGGGCATGCTGAGTTAAAAAAAAAGGAAGGTGCAGAAAAAGAGATATTTCTGAGGAAAGCACATACTCATGCAATACTGAGATGGTGTAGGCTAATTCTCCACTGCTACCTAGAGCAGGGCAGGGAGCCTTGGCACAAGGTACAAATTTGGCCTTGAGGCAGGCAATGCTGCATTTTGTAAACAAGCCTGTATGATACAACTAAGCTCATCCTCATGCTGAATAAACTTCTGCAGGTGTTTTCCATCCAAACATAGTGGAATTTGAGTGGCAAAACCAGGACTTTTGATAGAAAGATGTTTCATCTTCTCTGTCAAAGCAAGAAGTTCAAACCTCCCTATCACCTTCTTGGGGCACTAGGAACATAAGTGACTTCAGCAGGAAAAAAAAATGCCCCTTTTTGTGGTGCAACACTCATCAGCAAACTGAGCATAAAATGGTAAATCTAGACTCTGAGATGCTCTGGACAGCAAGGCTCATCTCTTTTTTCTATGCTTGTCTGTTTTCCAGCTTGCTGGACTTCTGTACAATGAGCACATAGGCATATAGCAATAATAACAGCAGTAGTCCATTGCTGGGTAACTGATACAGCTTTGTAGAGCAACCAGCCCCTTAGGGTATAGCTAAGAAGAGGCAAACACACAAGAAATATCACTTCCTTCATTTCCCTGGATTTTTCTTGGAGCTAGCTCATCTAAATGCACTGATGTTCAATTTTATTTAGCTTCTGAATTAAAAATGAAAACTCGGTTGGAATTCTGCTTCCCTTAAGTTAGTTGGCTGCAGTCCAGTTCTCAAGGTTTGTGCTTTTAGAGCTTGATCCAATCCCAGAGAAGTCACTGAAAATTGCTCCACTGATTTTAATGAGTCAAACCACTGCATGAGGAGTAAGCTATAAGTATAATCTCTCAAGGCTTTTTTTTTATTATTTCTTCTATATGCTTTGAAGCAGCAGCTGGTGTATCTCACAGACACTGGACGTAAATCACAGCGGGAAGAGGGGGCTGGATGAGCACAACGGCTCCCTGTTGCATAACCTAGAAGATGCAGGTTAATTCAGGCGATGCTTGCAAGGTAGAGACTACAGCTCTTTTCATTCCCCAGTTTATCTGCCTCTGGAAATATTTACAAACCACACAAAGATGCCTCTGTGCCCCGCAGAATATTTTCCTTTGGTTCCTTTGTGAGTGGGAAAATAAGAGCATCCTAACCTCTGGGCATAATTTATGGCAGAAATAAATAGCAGAATGATAGAACAGCTCTAAAGTAAATTACTGAAAATATTCACCTGCCAGCTCTCCAGAGAAAGCAGGCAGGTGGGTGAGCCAGGATCAAGTCAGACTAAAAGCCTTAGAGGAATAGAGTAGTTTCTTCTAGTCATAAAGGAACAAAAAGTGTTTGCAGCACCTGCAGGCTGTTTCCTCTCTTGAAGGAAGCGGGGAGGTTGAACAAAATATTGTAGTGACAATGGAACAGTCTGTAGTCAAATTTGCACTAGGGCAAGATAAATAAAAGGACATATAATATTCAACATTGCAAATGCCTGCACTACCTGCCAACAAGAAGCGTACGTATTTGCTGAGTCATTATGCCTGACACAGACTGCAAAAGGAGTGGGGTGCATGGAAAGGCCTTGAAACAAGGACCATGCAGCAAACCCAGGAGTGTCTAGCACAGAGCTGTCTGACTGGTGATCCTTGTGCTGTCATCAGGCCATGACATTTTACTTTGAATGCCATCTTGGCAACACAAGAGATAGGAAAAGCTGATTAAGGAATCCCCTGAAGGCCATTTTTAGTTCATTCCTGCAAACTCAAGCCACAGGCTCTTCAATTGCTTTTGTGTCCAGCTAGGAGGGGGAGGATAGTTTGGAAAGCTGTTTCTCACTGTACCAGCAGATCATCACAGCATCCACAAGGCATCTGAGAGAAGACAGTGCTGACTTTGGGTCTTTGAGTACTGGAAAAACTGGATACCTTGGTAGGAACCTGACAGACTGTTCTAGGGAAAAAGAGTGCATAAGATGATCATCTGCTTTTAGAAGAGCAGCCAGTGGACATAAGAGACTGAGGCCCTGGTCTTTGTAAGGACCTGCTTCAACTGATACAGACTGGGACAATTCTTGGGAGGGTCATTGTAGCTTTCAGATCTTGGGAGGGTCATTGTAGCCGTCAAATCCACAAAGTGTGACAGTGGCTTTATTCTCTTTCCCTGAGCCCCAAGAGTGACTTGTGACCTGCAGCACTCAGCATGCTCAGCTGAAAGTCTGTTCTTGTGCCTGAACAAGCAGCTGTCTACATCCTGGGTGTCCTACATTACACCCAAAATGTGAACAGAGCCTGAAGTCTCTGACTTGACCTTAGAGCACCCTCAACCTGAGAAGCTGGGCCAATGCTCATCAGTACTGTAACTTGAATTCTAAGCTCTTGTGCTGCAGAGATGCATTGTTGTATGATTAATGGATGCCATTAAACTAGAGAGACTCTTCAGCCAGCAGTGAAAACTCAAGAGAAATACCAGACAGTCAGCCACAGTCAGGGGAGCTGAACTGAAAAAACAGTTTGTGGTTTAAGAAAACTGACTTTCAGTCTCTTCAGGATTGCTCCATTCTAAATTGTTAATACACACTGATCCACTTTAAGAAAGTTGCTAGGGCCACCTCGTGCCCATGCAGCTCCTGAGGCAGGAGGAATAGTGTGAGTCCCAGTAAGCACAGGCCCTGACAGAGGAGTCAGTCAACATTGGTGCTACCCTGACTCCTGTTCCCAGTGGGAAGGCAAAGCCTGGACATTTTGCTGATGCTCCCTCAAGTTTATTTGAGATGTAACTGGTTACACAGAGAGGTGGATATGAAGAAGAGGAAGGCAGCATGCAGCTGGTAATAACTTCAGCTATGTCAGTGCAATTGCTCCACTGGTGATGGAATCCTACATGTGCAAGTATTTGCACTGAGTGGGCCAAGCAAAGTTAGCTTCTAAGTGTAGTCAAAATGCACTTCAGTTAGGTCATCTGAAGCAAATGTTGGTGATAATTTGGGGGTTTATATTGCTGATAACCTTATCACTGGTTACAGATGCTTGAGTAAAGACTGTACTTGAATACAGACAGGAAGTTCCACATATGCTTTTTTGGCACAGCACAGAACAGTGTGAAAATTGTGTGTATTAAGCAATTTAAATTCCAGTTACTTCTGAATTTGGATCATCTCTTATGGGTTAGCATTTGATGATTTCTCATGCTATGCAAGAGGCCAGCTGTTTACACCAGTGAAAATCCTGAACCAGGGAGGATGTGACAGAGCCAAAGGAGTGGACAAAAATGCAGCTCAGAGTGCTGGGAACCTGGAGAAAAGCAGGCAGCAGGTAACAGAAGTGTGTGAGGAGGGTGCACCCCTAAGCAGGCAGGATTGCAGGTGCCTCCATCCCTGCACTGCCACATGGATGGTTTTAAAGCAGAGCCAGTTGTCATGGCAACAGCACCCACCAGAGCTGCCAGCCAGCAGGATGCAGCTCCCAAGGAAGGTGAAGATTCAGGCTGACCTACCTCCATGCTAACCCCAGCCACAGCACAAAGCCCTGTCCCAGGCCAGCTGTGCAGCTCCCTGGCCAGAGATTTCCCTAGAAGGAGCAAGGCCAAGAGCTCTTCACTCAAGCTCCCAGTGAAAGCTGGATCAGATGAACAGCAGCTCCAGATCTGCAGCAATGCTCAACCAATTTTTGGATTCCCAGGAAATTGAATGATACCGAGCTAAATTTTGTGGTGTTGAGGGACAGGTCAGAGGACAGGAGAACATGCAAAAGAATCCTCAGCAGAAAAGAACAGAGGGATCCCCCTTTTCTGACATCCTTCCAGACAAGTGCTTTTTGCTCCCTTTGCACCTGCCGTTCCGTCTTGCTTTTAACTGCTACTGCTTCTCTGCTGTTGCATTTTGTTCATACCCTCCCTTCCAGTGCTCCAGCAAAATCTTCTGCTTTGTAGGCATGATGCCAATGAAAACTGATGTTTACCAGCACTAGTAGGGTTCATTTTCTTACTTACACAGTTCACACTTTGTCCCAGAGGGAAAGAAGTCGTGAAGGAGGGAAGCTGCCCTTAGCAGGATTAAGTGTCAGATACCTGAGAAAGCTGACACAGAAGAATTGATGGAGGCAGTTCTTCACTAACAGGTGGCTACATCATAAAAGCTCTTAAACTTGATAGTGCCCAGCCCCAAGCTGGCAGCCTTGGTAGAAGGGCCAGTGGCCAAATGGGTCAGACACCTCTCATTCCAGGCAGGCTTCAAGGTCTGAACTGGATTGCACTGCAATGACTGAGTCTATTCTCTCACCAATGCCTGCTTCTGCTCCTTCTCTGTTGTCTTACCTGGGCTGTGAATCTCACATCTTTCAGCAGTATA